TTCTCTTAAACATTCTAATAGTTTCTAAATTTAGACAGATATTTGTACCTTTTAACTTAAAATTACAAATCAAAAAGCAATTACACAAGTATTCATTTTAAATTAGATTCACAAAACTAATGTGTATGCACCTAATAGGCCTAATCCTCTGATATAAAAAATATATTAAAGACTAAATATATTGATTATTTTTAACCTTAATGCAAAAATATTAATACTAATAAATATTTACTAAATTTCACCATTTCTATCTTTACTTCTAACTTTACCATGGATAAAAGACCATAAAGGGAGTGAAAATGTATGAGGCTACTGCCGGTGTAACATCACCTTGTTTTACAACAATTTTTTTTATTTTTTATAAGTAGAAAGAGTACACTCTGCTAATAAATGGTATACTGAACACATAAACCAGTAGCATAGTTGTTTATTATTGTCAAGCACTGTGTCCTGTACATTACTATATGCACTGTACTTAGACACAACTGGTGGCACTTTGTTTACACAAGCACTGCCACAAACACGTGAGTAATGCATTGTGCTACGATGTTAAGATGGCTATAAAGTCACTAGGCAATAGGAATTTTCCAGCTCTATTATAATCTTATGGGACCACCATTATCTATGCAGTATGTCATTGACAAAAACATTGTTTTGCAGCACTTAACTGTAGCCACTGTAACAATTAGTACTCCAAATCCTTTAGAGCAGGGGTCCCCAATCTCCAGGCCATGAATCTGTACCAGTCCGTGGCCAGTTAGGAACTGGGCCGCACAGCAGATGAGCACATGGGCCAACAAGAGAAGCTTCATCTGCTATTTGCAGCTGCTCCCCAGCGCTAGCATCACCGCCTCAGCTCCACTTTGGATCATCAGGCATTAGATTCTCATAGGAGCACCGGTCCCTGGTGCCAAAAAGGTTGGAGACCACTGCTTTAGAGGCATCTGGTCATTCCTGGGTTCAAGATAAACAATTATAACTCTTCCAGATCATGTGCATCTGTGATTTCTAACTTAAAATATATCTGTTTGAACACTGTAATTGGATTTTGCATTTTCAGCTCAGTCATTTTAATATCTTTCTAACTCTAAAGAAACTTCAATGACAATCCATCCTACCCTTTACCTAACTTGTTTTAACTTTAACATCTTACATGATAAAATTCTGCTTTCTTCTCACATCTTTCCTGTATGGCAGGGTCATAACTCTCAGAAAAATGAAGATAACACCCAAATGGATTCTGCAAACCATTTCTTTGTCAGGCTCAGTTTCTTCATCAGGAAAATGTGATAAATAATGGTACCTATCTAACAGAGTCGTTATTAGGATTAAATAAAAATATCTGCTAGTGCCTGCCCCACATAGAATGTGCTTAGCAGCTATTATTTTTGTTACTATTTCCCCTGAAAGATACTGTTTTAACTGCTGAAAGTAAATAAAAATAAAATTTAAATAGGACTTAGATATGTTTAAAGTATCCTGTTACCAAGTGGGAAAACAGTGTTGACATAACAGGCCAGTTTATGATAAAAACTGTATTACAATAAGTTGAGAATCTAAACTTGTTAAATCTATTTATTTGCACTTATTTATTACCATATTATCTAGTGAGCTGAATAATTTTAAAGGCTATATAATGTAGGCTTGTGGTCATGCCTCCAAACAAAAAATATAATCAAGGTCCAAATAAATTTTTTTTGAATCAAATCATAATTTACACTTTAAGCAGGAACAAGAATTGCATCACGAGATTTTTTTTTTCCTTAATTGTTATTAACTAGATAAACTCTTTAATATGTCTAAGTACCAACTACATTTTTCCTGAGAGGACTAAAATGTTGGAGTCAGCAAATGCTAAAAGCTGGTAAGAGCAAAAGCAGCCACCTTGGAGAGGCATAAAAAGGCATAACACCAACAGTCCAAAATAAGGAGTTTGGTTATAGAAACAGTAAAATCAGAAGCATCTCATCCAAATTTTACCTGGTTTATCTTTAACCTGTCAATGGTGAAACTACTTTATCAACATCATTACTGAACATGAAATGGTGAAGGGCAAGATCAGTAGTAACAAAAAATATCACTACAATACACAGGACATTTTAAAGAATTGAAGGAAGAGTGACAGACAATAGGAACGTAAGCAGATGTTATAAAAATCTCAAGTAAGGGTAGTCACAAGCAGAAAGCGCACAATAAATCCTTTAAAAACAGACTGATAGGTAGTTATTCTGAGGGACACAAATGTAAAGAAAAACCCTATAGCTAAAACCCATTTAGTAGGCAGCTGCAAAGAACAGAGTTCTCATTTTAAGGAAAAGCTGACTAGAAATTAATAACCATTTATTTTTCATGTGTATATATATACATGCTGCCTCTCAAAGGAGCCAATTTAGGAGGCTGTATTTATTCTATGAATGGTAGGGGAGTGATCAAATTATTGCTGGGGCACTTATTAAACTGCTTTCAGAATTTGTAGGCATAGCTTTATAGACCTACAACATTTATAGCTCCAAATGCTATTTTCTGGCTTTATCTTCCATTATTTTCACTGGTTTTGTTCCAAATGAAAGAAACTCTAGAATTGAGAACCTTTGAAATCATCCAATCAACCTCATTTACAAACAGGAAAACATAGGCCAAAAGAGATTAATTACTTGTACAAATTATTTCAGCCAGTTAGTGCTAGTATGTACCTGCCCACATAACTGTGGTCATAACTGTGACATCATCACAAGTACTCTCTAACTTGTGTCAAGATTTGAGGGCACAATGAATATTTTAAAGGGGGTCAAAGGAGACTAGACTTTGAGTGTTGAGCACATATTGTATTATACAATTGTACACCTAAAACTTATGTTATTAATCAATGTTGACCTGATAAATTTAATTAAAAAATTATGTGCCATGAGTTCATAAGGCAGCTTCAACAGAAGAGGAATTGGTAAAGTACTTTGAAGCTGCAGCTCAAAACAAGAGTGTCAGTTATAGCAGTGTGCTCAACAAATGTTTCTGAATGAAGTGGATGTATATGTTTGGGCATATTTATTAAAGTAGATCATATTTCTACCTGGTTATACCACATACTTTTGAATTCTCTATCTAGAGGCTGGTTATATATTGTTTTCAATAAGCAACTAATGATGTATTAAAAAATCCTTTATTCAAATAATTTAAAGTTCCAGCCTTCATCCCTGGTCTCACCTTTAAGAGGATTCTGTATCTGGTTAATGTCCTTTAAAGCACAAAAAAATGTATCCCCCTTTTTCATTTTCTAATCCCATAAACAGGAAGTGTAAAGACAGGATATTTTATTGTGAAGAAAATTATTAAAAGGGGTCATGCTAAAATTAGATTTTAACATTCAAGTTTCTGCAAAGCTTAAGTTACACACCCACTCACAGATCAATAGATGTCCTCACTCTTTCACTGCTTTAAAAAGAATGGCAGGATGTGGGGTTACGGAGTTTATATTCTTTATGCTTTTCTCTATTTTCTTGACTCTTTAATGCTCACATAATTACTCATAATACTAAAATGCATATTAAAACAAGTAAACGAATGAAGCAAAATAGAATGCCTCTTATCAATTTAGAGAAAGCCAATGGCACTGGAGAATTTAGCATATGCATTATGCTAATACCTCTTCAGCAAGTACTTTTAAAAATTCCATAACAGCAATATCATACCATGACAGATTTAAAAAAAAAAAAAAAAAAGGTACAAAGTCACTACGATGAAAGAAAACTAACATAGCAGTCAGTATAAATGTAATTGAGAAAAAGTTTCTAGGTTCTGCCACCTCAAAACAACATGCAGCCTTTCAAAACACATGATACAAAAATCAGCTAAGCTTCAGGTTAAGCTAAACATTTTTTTTTTCCCAAAGTAGTATTTAGTGCTGAAGTGAATCCTAACAGTTGGCAAATATCAAAAACACTGATCCACACCCAAACTAAACTAGGCACGGTGTTCTTAAGGATCTCAAAGACGAAAAAGACAGGCGTCATAATTGGTTCAATATTCACCTCCTGGTCGGAGGGAAAAACGAATGGATCGTACCCTTGAAATACTTAGCGGGGTTAAGAAAGTCAAGTGTGGGGGAAGAAAGCAGGAAGAGCAGAGCAGGAAGAGCTGCGACACCAACAGCAGAAAGTTTCCCGTCCCCAGAGCAGAATGAGTCCTCCCGTGTCACCCCCGCCCTGCCGCCAGTCTGGCCCACGCGCACCTACCATCCGGCCGCGCGACCTCTGCCCACCCAGCTCTCCACTGGCGCCTGCCCGGGCCACGCACCCCAAACCAGACATCCGCCTCCCCGCCCACAGCCCTCAGCCCGGGCCGACCGCGCGGGAGGTCAAGGCAGGCTGGGCTCACCAGGTCCCTCGGGGTTGGACGGCGCTGGGTGCCGGTGGCGTGGGGACCCGCACCCGGGGTCCCCCTGGGCGGGCTCCCTCAGGTAATCCTCGAAGCACACCTGGCGGGCTTCGCCGCCACCCCCGAGCCCCCAGAGGCGGTTGGCCGTGCCCCGTA